GGCATATAAATCTAAGGGGATATATATATAGCGGGCTAATGACATCATTCAGTGTTGTTCCTTGGGCAAAGTCTTAGGGCACACTGCCAACCTCAGTATGTGAGTGCAAGTAAAAATGGAACCATATTGACTCAGACGTCGCCCGTTTAAACAAGGTCTCCATCAAGTGTTAAAAAAACAGGACAATATGATTGCAAGTGAGCTACTGGAACACAAAGACGATGGACACAACAACAAACAAGGCATTATTGGAATGATACTAGGGACCAGTTTTCCTCATTCCGCTTCATTCTATCTCTATTCTCCCATTGTACTGTATTTGTCAAGTTCCACTCATAACTCTATATTCTCTCTGCTTTTTTTTTCTGATTTTAGTAGCTTTATGTGGTCTGCTCCTGTTTCGACACAACTCCATCCTAGATGGAAATATCAGCTGTGCTGCTGCCATCAACATCTCTGTTTATAGATATTAGAGCTTGAACTGTTTCAAGTGTAGGCATGTATCTTTTACTGTGACGTGCAGAATTGGTTTGGAGTTCATCCCCCTGGCTCTGTGTTACGCAGACAGGGCCACCTGTGGAGCTAGTTAATAGTTACCTTTTGTATATCTGCTTCTTTTATGTATGTCTGCTTCTTTAATCTTGAACCCCAGTTGGGTTCAGAGATGGCTGCTCACACTGAGCCTGGTTCTGCTGGAGGTTTCTTCCTGTTTAAAGGGAGTTTTTCCTCTCCACTGTCGCTACATGCATGTGCGTTGTGAGTGATTGCTGAGGAGTCAACAACAAAATGCAAGCGAAGTTCATTGCTGCAGGCTTATCCAGGAGGAGCATGTGTTGCAAGTCCATGACTGGATGCAATCATCTGATTTTCCTAACCAATATGACAGTATTATCTCTGTAATAAGCCTTGGGATAACTTGTTGTAAATCCTTAACAATCATAGACAGGTTTCAGGTATTAGAGGAGACAATCCTCCCCTTAATGGCAATCCCCCCTTTAACGATCGACCCCTAGAATCATAGACAGGTTCAGATATTACAGGCTAACGATGGAACTAAACGACCCATTCATCGGTTACCATTTGCATGTTTCCAAGCAATACAAGGCCTTGTCTATATAAAGACTCAAACTCACTGCGGATCCAGACATTTGAATTGAGAAAGCTTCCTGGAGAGGTGGCGAAACGTCTTCAAATCTTGAAAACCAAGTCCAGTGGATATTTTTTGAATTTTTACGGAATTGTTGTAAATGGGCACTATATGAATGAACTGAATTGAATCGGATTTAAAGTACTCCAGTAACCCTAGCAGGTAGGGCTAAATAAAAAGACTTTTGGAAAACAAAAATGCTTTGATAAACAAAATCTGAGCAGACTGCTAAACATCTAGTAGCTCAGTGTTCCAACATCCACAAAAGGTAGGTTTCTTTTTTCACAATTAGAGTGCCAGGAGATCATAAACATGAAACTTATGCCAACAGAGAGCCAAGAAACAAGGCCAGACGGGTCAACATCAGGGTCCCTGATATTGGGTACAAAGCCCCAATGGTTCATTAACAACTGAATAGGAGAACCACTGACCTAAGAGATTAGATAATGGTTCAATTGAGAGCTTGCCAACCCTAACATTGGCTACCAAAGTTTTTTTGAGGTGTCTCAAGATGATTTGCTGGATGATGTGAATAGAGCACTAAGAACAATCCCTACTGCGACCATCACAGAATCCAATGAGCTTGGCCAAGGTAACGTTAAGGATGTCCACAGTTTACAATGTCTACCATGGGGGAGAAGGTTGGAAGCCAAAATTTTAAGGCAAAACAAGAAGTAGTAAACTGACTATCGGAACTCCAAAAGGATGCATCTGGCAAAGCAATACCCCGATGATCCAAATAGATACCCATACATTAGACCCTGGAAACTGCCAAACAAAGATTCCAAGACCTTGGCTACTCGACTGGAGCGGTACACAAAAGAAATAGAGACCAGATGAATAAGCAGGCTATTATCCACTGAACCAGCTAAGCTGTACTCCCAGTGGCAGGGTAATAACACACGAGCCATCCCACAAAGACCCACAAAAGCAGCAACAGTCAAACTATATCAGGCAAGATCCCAGGTGTATGCTATGCAAAGAAGCCCGTTCCTAATATTTTTGAATGTTTGAATAAAACAATTAATAACCACAGTTTTAGAGAAATTGATTTAGTCCTTTTGCACTTTTTTTTGCACTTTTTAGATTTTGTCTTTTGCGCTTTTATTTTCTGGTTACCCACTAGTCTACTGAATATTGCAGGGTTGTTTTTTTTGGTACAATGTTATATATTTAAATAAAATAAAATAAAACAATAAAATAAAAATAAAAACAGCCAAGTGTTACGGACAATATTTGGGCCATTTTGGAAAATCTGGCTTCGTCATGTTCACACATTCTGTTCTATTTGACAATAACTGAAGAAAGCTTTCACCTAATAATTGTTTAATCTTGACCATTACATAAATGGGACCAATAACAGAATTTATTTAGAAAGAAAATATTATTTGCAATAGTTTTACTTTTGCACACTTTGTCATTTTAAATCAAGCTAAAACTCCTAAAAAAACTACAGACTAAACTCACAGAGTATGTATTGTTACTTTGATTGAAATTATCGGTTATTGTTAGACATGTTGCTAAATGAAAAGTAGTTTTGCAATAAATATATTTGTTGTCTGTACAAAAAGTGTTTGATTGACTGATTGATTGATTGATTGATTGATTGAAAATTCCATTAAACACTTGTTTACAACCTCCAGTCAGTACTTTGTTAGGTCATCCTTAAACATACGCCCACATTTGTATCCTCCATTTGGTGTAAATGAATGACATCATCTCTTTCCTTGCCCTTCCCCCTCTTGCGTGCAACATCTGAGGGATAAGCAGATGTCTAAGGTCTGTTTATTCACCAGTAGGACAGGCTAACTGGGCCTGTAAACAAGCTTGCACACTCAAAGGTTGCAACATATCTCCGTCATTCATTGCATCATATGGAAGCAGCCAAAGCCCTCAGGAGGCTTTTTTTTGTCTTCCTTCCCTCTGTCTCTACAATACCCATGGAGACATCATCAATACAACATCAATACCTCTTACAGCTGCCAGAAGAAAACTGTTTGTTGTTATCTCAATATGTTTTATCTTATAAAAACATGAGTAATAAATTCAAAAAGATAGCAACAGCATTATAAGAATGTGCATTTCAGACCTGCAAGAAAAATGTTGCCAAGACTCATGTGTAAAATGCAGCTTTTTAAATAAAAAATATTTTATATTGTAATATTTCCCAATTTTTTAATGCTGTTTTATTTGATTATTCTAGGATAACACAGGGATCCCTCTTCACTTCTGGGGGGTTTTCGATGGCCATGCAGGTTCTGGCGCAGCCATCATGGCCTCCAAGCTTCTTCACCGCATTATCAGAGACGGACTAGGGGAGATCTGTCACCTCTTAGAGAATCCCAACAGTGCCCCTCCTATCTGCTTGGCCAAGAACGGCAGCCCTTTCCAGGCAGAGGCGAAAAAAGGAGCAACGCAGGAGGCGGGAGAAGACCCCGATGCTGTATCTGATGCCTCGGTGCGCTTTTACATGGAGAAGGTCGTCAGCCTGGAGAGCTTGGTGATGGGAGTCATAGAAACCGCCTTCAAACAGATGGTGAGAGGATTTTGACAGACCACAGGACGCTTATGAACATATTTAGCTTTTTCTGGGTGGGACATAATGAAGTATGTTGGAAAAGTTTTAATATCCCTTAAAAATTTTTAGGATTTTATGTAGTCAACCAACACAAAAAGCAAAAAACTGAAAAAAAAAATTTTTTTTAGATTAATTTTCAGATTAATTTAAAAACCTTTTACAAATAAAAACCGTAAGTTGTTATTTTATTCTGCCTTTTGAGTCAATACTTTCTAGAGGTACACTTTTTCATGAATTCATATCTGCCATATCAAAATCATATCATGTTTTTCTGGGCATCTCTTCTAGCTTTTATTATTTATAAACATCGAGAGTCAGGGTGAATAGTGTGTTTGAACAGCAATTTCCTTTACCACAGATATGTGGTAAGAACATCTCTGCACCTTGACTGGGCCATTCTAACTCATGACTATGCTTTGATCTAATCCACTGTAGCTGTGGCTCCGAGGTTAAAATGCAGCTCTCACTCTCTCAGCGGCTTACTCTGAAGTACTTATCTTCATCTGAGGGGTGGTTGAGGCCCTGATGTGCTTTTTAAAAAAAATTAATAATACTTTCAGTAAAATCTGCCGACATTCAACAACTGATTACAAAATAAGAGTCTAATAGATTTCTAATATGTCCCCTCTCACATAAGGGTTACCTTTTACCTGTTTTTATATTTTTATTAAACATTTTGTGTTACTATTTAACCTTGCATGCATTTAAAATGAAATTACACCATCTTTTGGCTGACCAGTACCACTCCCAGTGACCAGGAACGTGAATTGCACACATGACCAACAAAATGCATGCATGAATGCATGATCTCCTGGATTGTAAACTTCCGCACCTTGTTCCTGTCTTTGGCTGCTTCTAGTCGTTTTTTTTTTCATCCAGGATTGTCCTGTTTCAGACAAATCCATCTTTCCATTAAGTCTGATGAGGTTCTCAGGTTCCCTGCTTTAAAAAAATTATTCACACAGAATGATGCTGCCACCCCCATGCCCACAGTCTCTCCTTGTCCAGCCTGTCAGTTGTAGGAAAGCTTGCATGTAGCTTAGCAGGTGTGCTTTACTGTTTATATTTTGTTTGAATGAATTTATTGATCTCACAGTGGAGAAATGTACTAGTTACTTCAGATCAAATGCTCAAAGCAGAAGTTGCCAAAGGAAGAGAAATGTGCATGGAATATATACATCATATAGTATGTCCACATATGACAGATGATGGATTGAACAGGACTATTTAGGATAACCAGAGCCTGGGGAATAATTTTGTACCCACACTATCGTTAAACTTTCTTTACAACCTTATCTGTGATCTGTCTGGTGTGGCTGTCATGATTGTTTGTTCAAGACTGTTCTCAAACAAACTTTTAAGATTTCTAGAGCAGCTGTATTTAAACTGAGGTGAACTACACAGATTTGGACTTATTTTTTCGTTTGTTTTGGTATTTTTTTGGAAGTCCTACTTTTTTTGTTTTTGTTTTTTTCACAGATTTTGTCTTAAAAAAAGAAGGTAAAACAGAACGCAGACAAAGAAAATAG